CCCCCCACGGTCCCCCGAGGGGCTTTAGGCTGGTACAAATGATGACTTGACTTTTTTCCCCATCAGATCGACAGTGTTGATGGCTCTGAATACTTGCCAGTTAGTTCTGATAAGACCAGCCTCAAAAGCCCGGCACTGTCCACTTCCGGCCGTGGGTAGAGGGGCCTTAATGCCCTCTTTGTTTCGCAGGGTTGCGTGGTCAGGGTGCCCAGGATGGCTGTTGGAGGAGGAAGTCGCTGCCGGGCCGCCAAACGAGCCGGGGCCATCCCCTGGTCGCATGGTTTTGAGGGTAAGCGTTTGTCTCGTCCTGGTCCTACAATAAAGGGTAACTTAACTGATAACGGATTACCTCTAGAAAGGCCTTTATTACAACGATAAAATCTCACTTTCTAGACAAGGCTTACCTGATAAGTCGATTCAAGAGTAGCCCCAAATGGAATGATCATTTCGTTGTAAAAGTGTTTTGACTTTTTAAAGAAACTGCCTCCTACTCATGTGTTCACTTTTGTTCATCGGGACGAAAAGATGGCTTGTGCACTTAAAACATCCAACTGGTTGGATTGTGTGACACTATGAATCCTTTTGTTGCTTAAGCTGCTCAATCTATCGGGTGCAGAATTTCTTGGGAACACATGTTGTACTTTTACAGATATTTCTCTTCCCAATGTTTGTAAAATGCTCCTGTACACTCTGGTCTCTAGCATGTGGTTTGTTTCATGGTACAAGAGACCCAGGCCCCAGATAAAATTAAAGTCTTAAAAGGTTTAAAGATGAGGGAGCCATTACCACGCGGTCAAAATGGCGTCCAGAATCACGGTAGATAAGCCGCATGGAACAAAGGGAAACAAATTCGTGATTGGTAGTAGATCAATACATCAGACCAAGATTGCTAAGGCCATGGTAATCTACATCCCAAGGGCTAGATTTCCCACATCCTTGGTTTGGATGTCTAGCTTAAACTCAGATAAATTGCTGTTGAGAAATTGGGAGCTTCAGCTGGCATATATGATGACTGAACTTTTTTCCCCGGCAGATCGACCATGTTGATCTAACTTCTCTAAGCCAGTTTCTGTCTGATATGCTGGGATGAGCAGCTCTTTAGTCCCCTCTCCCTCGGGCACTGTCTGATAGGAGTTGATCTTTGTGTTTTCATCTCAGGGTTGCGTCTGGCAAGACTTTTGAATTAGCAGTCCTCCCACAGGACAGAATTGGTAAGTTGGGCCCATGTGTTTCCCCCCTCAGCTGAACAGGATCTCGGGAGATTTGCCCTAGGTGTTCCTCAAGCTGGGCCATTGCAACTGATGACATAACTTTTTTCCCCATCAGATCGACCTTGTTGATCTAGCTTAACTACTAGCCAGTTTCTGTCTGATGCTTGGCCCCAGATAGGACTTTGTGTTTTTGTTAGGGTTTTCTTTTTAAGCGGGGATTGATTTGTCCCACCTACCCATGACCATTTGTTTGCTTTCCACAGGTCTGGAGCTGGGTGGCACCAGGCAATAAGTGGGCTGATGTCTGCTTGCTGTTTGCTGATGGCCTGTAGTAAGGTGAGTTTTCTGAAGAATGTTTACTTAATGGGCCAATTCCACCATGGGTATAATGTGGGTAGAGAAATACTCATTTCTCTAGTGGTACTACTGGGTATAAAAAAAATGTTGGTAGCATGGGCCTCGTTCTGAATGGATGTCTGCCTCGTGTTGGCTGTAAAATTCATTTTCATACTGATTTGGATACTAGTACTGGGGATAGCACTTGTAGTCTGGTACTCTTGCATGTCTACTGTCAGAATGGAGTACTAATTAACATTTTTGCTCTTTTCAGTAAGTCTTAGTTGTGGACTTCGAATCCAGGCCAATAAAAAAAGACCCTGTGCACTGGTGAGTGGGGACTGCGTTCTACTGGGCCAGGTGTATGCCAAGGGGTGCCCCCCATTAAACGGGGACGGGGAGCTCTGCTGGGTGGAGCTTTCATGTACGCTAGGTGAGCATTGAGCAACTTGTTTTGAGTTAGTGCACCCAGTGGTGGCACCTCCAAAGATTCTTTCTGAATTTTTTTGCCAAGGACGTGGTAATCTACATCCCAAGAGCTAAATTTCCCACATCCTTGGTTTGGATGTCTAGCTTAAACTCAGATAAATTGCTGTTGAGAAATTGGGAGCTTCAGCTGGCATATATGATGACTGAACTTTTTTCCCCGGCAGATCGACCATGTTGATCTAACTTCTCTAAGCCAGTTTCTGTCTGATATGCTGGGATGAGCAGCTCTTTAGTCCCCTCTCCCTCGGGCACTGTCTGATAGGAGTTGATCTTTGTGTTTTCATCTCAGGGTTGCTCCTGACAAGTCTTTTGAACCAGCAGTCCTCCCACAGGCCGTGCAGCTGTTTTGTTTACTGCTCTGAAGAAATGCCGCAGAAACTGTTGTGATGTCCAACACCGCTTACAAGGACAGCGGCTATGGGGGAAACTAGAGTGTGCGAGTGGTTTTCTCATTTCAAAAAAGGTGGAATGTCAATTGATGTACCTCGTTCTGGATGTCTTATCAACTTCCCAAACGAAGGAAATGGCAACGTTTGTGCACTTGTGCTCGAAGACTGCCTCAGTTCACGAATTTTAACAGGAAATTTGGGAATGAGAAGGGTTTTGTTTGTGCCTTGCATCCTGCCTGACCAGGAAAAAGAGCAAGTGGAAGCATGCCATGCTTTGAAAGAACAGCTCTATCCAAATAGATGAGGTTGAAAAATGTTTCTGAGAATGGCATCACAGATTTGACAAGTGTATTAAGTAATGGAGAGTACTTTGAAGGTGGTTTTGTAAAGAAATACAGATTTGGGGAAGGGTATCCCCTTGCATACTCTGACTGGACCTTGAGAGTTGAAAAGCTTGTGCCCAGTTTGGGGGAGGGGGAGAAGGGCTATTGACCTTTGAAAGAGGTCTTGCATTTGATTTAAACGTTTGTGAAAACCATTAAACAAATGTGTATAAGCTGGATGATTGCAAGGTCTTTTTTCCCTTCTAAAAATTCATTGGCCAGCACTTGTTCCTTGATTAATACTGGTGTTAGATGTTTGTGCTCCCATTAAGATACAGCTTTACAGGGGCAGTAAAGCTGTGATGCTTTTTTACAGTAAAGCTGTGACACCAGTACAGAAGGCCACCAACTCAGCACTGGTAGGAATTACAGGGGGACTAAAAGGGGGTATGTGTCTGGAAGCTAGGTGGATATTAGCCCTAGTGGTAATGGCTTAAACCTGTGATGAGATTTTCTACTTAATTATAGTATAAGCCCCTAGCCTATAGGATCCAATGGCAAGGATGTGTAGCCGCTGCCACCAGGGCTCCTGCTGTCTAACAGTTGTTTACACATAATTAAACATCTCCCCATCCAATAACCCTTAGAAGCAGATTTTTTTTGGTCCTATTTGCCAAGGGGGTCAGTACACTGTATCAGTGGTGGGGCCTATATGTGGTTACACAGCTTGCAAATGGCAGGAATAGGACTCAAGCCTGCCCACATGTTCTCTTGAGTTTAAGTTGCCTGCTGCTTAAATGGTGTTAGGGATAGTTTGAGGGTTGCTATGAGCCATCTGGGGGATCCCTGGTGTGTAGAGTTTACAAGTTCAGCTGCCAACCACAAGGCCAGTTTCAGTGGAAGATGTGGCTTTCTACCCCCATGAAGTAGACTGGCTCCCAAATATTTGGCCTGCTATTCCTTTTTTTTAAAGTTGGTTAGTGTCCCCTGGCAATTAAAACTCATACTATAGCCTGTAATATAAAATGGGGGTAGCTGCTTTTGGAGTCCCCTCTGGATCTGCCAAGTGACCCAGGATAGAATCCCCTACTTTGGGGAACACCAATGTAGTTTCCTGACCCGCACAGGTAGTTCTGCTGTCAGAAAGGGTCACTGACAGTGAATGATGGGGGGAGTGCAGAGTGGAGATCCAAAGCCCATTAGTAGGCCACTGGAGATCCCTTTATAAACGGGAGATGAGCCAGTCAGGGTGCGATGTAACAAAGATGAGAAATACAACTTAACTCTAGTTCCTAAATGTTTCCTCCCCACTCTCACTACCATGACTTGAATTCAACCTTGCAAGTCTAGCTAGACCAGAGGATGTACACTGGTACAGATAGGAGCTGAAAATACAGGGAATCCAGGGCGGATGAGCCCTATAGGACCAGTAGTGTGAGTGGCGATACTGGGAGGGTAGAGGGAGAGTGGGTAGGAAAGAGGGAGCCGATTACAAGGAACTATATGTGACCTCCCTGGAGGAATGGACAACCGAAAAGTGGGTGAAGGGAGATGTTGGACAGGGCAAGATATGACAAAATAATTTATAAACTATCAAGGGCTCATGAGGGAGGGGAAAAATGAGGACCTAATGCCAGAGGTTTAAGTGGAGAGAAAATGTTATGAGAATGATGTACAAATGCGCTTTACACAATTGATGTGTATGGATTGCGATAACAGTTGTATAAGCCCCTAATAAAATGTTTTTTTTTAAAAAGGGTCACTGAATCAGAATCCATTCAATAGCAGTTCTGTGAGATAGGGCTGATGGCCCTGTTGGGTAAAACATTGGGCTGCAAACTAACCAATTCACATGGAGAGAGGAGGCTGCTTGCTCCTGTAAAGCACTTGATGGCAATGGGTTATATGATTTGTTATGACTTGAAATCAACTAGATAGCATTGAATTGGGATTTGGAAATAGCCTATTTCCTGTTTCAAAGGTTCAGGTAAATTACAGGTTTAAGGTTGGCTGAAACTAACAGTGATATTTTATTAGATCTATTTTTAAAAGTTTTAAGTGTGCTTACTAGACTTCCCTGTTGCTGAGCCATCTCAGGTCAGGAGTGGCATCAAAGGCAGCCAGCTAGGGGGTCAGGGAAGCTCTCAGAAGTCCCCTCCACCTGAGCCTCTTGGCTTTGCCAAGATCAGGCTTTCTTAAACTCTAGGGCCTATTGTAGGCCTTGCAGTCTTAAACCCTTTGCAACCTTCCTCAGCTTCAGGTCCCATCCACAGGCCCACCAAATAGTTGCTGCTTTAGCTTCATCTTGGGGCAAATTACTTCGCCTATGTAATCTTGTTTCTCAGACTCTGAAATGGGCTTCCTAATAATGCCTATTCAGATCGTTGAAAGTCAGTAAAACCTTGTGTAGAATGCCTACTCCAGGGCCTGGCATGTGGTGGGCTCATGGCCCATGACTTAAGGGCTCTTCCTGCTGTAACAAGCTGGGAAAAAGCTCAGGGTAAATCAGAAGACAAAAAATGTGTATTGAGTGTTCACCATGGGCTGACTTAGTTAACCTACATGCCAATCTGGTCAGTTACAATCTTATCTAATAATGTGGAAGATGGGGCATGGGGTCTTGTCAGGAGCACCTTGCCCCCTTTAATTAAACATTACTGTCTCAATTCAAAATTGTTAGTGATGTCTCGTTATCTTTTATTTTGAGGATTGTATACAAATCATACATGTCAATGTTCTACCATTGTACTTAACAAAAGAACCCAACAACAGGTTGACTACTCGTAGCAATCCTATGCGACAGGGAGGACCTCTCCCCTGTGAGTGAGTTTCTGAGACGCAACTGTTTGTGGGAGTAGAGAGCCCCATCTTTCTCTCATGGAGCGGCTGGTGGTTTTTAACTGCCGACCTTGTGGATTGCAGCCCAACATGTAGCCATTATGTCACTGGTTAGTTCATTGAGTGAGTTTACCATGCTCGGCCTGTTGCGCTGTGAGCCTTTGAATCGATTCCAACTCATGGTGACCCTATAAGATGGCATTGCCTGCTATGGTTTTTAATGAATAACTTATGTGAGGCCTCCTTCGAGACCAGCCTCTGAAGAAGGACATCGTGCTTGGCAAAGTGGGCAAAGTGGAGGGGTAGCGGATGAGATGGATTGACGGTGGTTGCAACAATGGGCTCAAACAAGGACAATTGTGAGGATGGGCAGGACCGGGTGATGTTTCATTCTGTTATGTACAGGGTCCCCAGGAATCTGAACTGACTCCATAGCACCTAACACACCATGACCTCCCAGGGACTTTTGCTTATGGATGAAATTAAGCATTTCTAGGGAGTTGTAGGGAAAGAGAGACGACTCATCTAGGCCTCCAGAATATTCCAGCTGGGAGAGGTGGTGGCTCCCCACTGGCCAGGAACAGAGCAGTTTTATAAAGGATCCACCCCCTGGGCTTTGGCGTCCAACTAGTACGGGCTCCATCTAATTCAGTTATATAAAAGGGCCCCATGAGTCAGAGCAGGTGGGACTAACAAGCATCACCATGATGACAAAAATCTTGGATAAAGGAAGAACTGCTGAGCAATTCCACATGGTGCTGAGAGCATAAACCTCAAACCCACTGCTCCGATTTCTAGCAGCCTTTTAGGACAGAATAGGGGGTCCCTGTAGTGGTGTGGGCTGCACGGCACATTGGGTGGCTAACCACACGGTTAGCAGTTTGACACCATCACTTGCAGTGTGGGAGGAAGACAAGGCTTTCTACTTCTGTAAAGAGTTAGTCTCGGAAACACAGTGGCAGATCTACCATGTCCTAGAGGGTCCTGGTGTCAGCATTGACTTGGTGGCAGTGAGTTTGTATAGGACAGAGTGAAACGTTTCCATTCGCTTTCCAAGACTAAATGTTTATAGGAGCAGAATGCCTCATTATTCTACTGAGCAATGAGTGGGCGTGAACCACCAACTTTCCTATTAGCAGGGGAGTTCTTTAATCACTGCACCACCAGGGCTCAATGTTGAGAGAAGCCCATCTCAAAAGGATGCCTATTGCATGGATTCCACTTACTGTATGATTCTTGAAAAAGCAACACGATAGTGGCTACCGTGTGGTATGTGTTATGGCTGGGGGAGAATTTGAAAAGGCTGAAGCATGAAGGTGTTTTTTTCCTGGTGTGAAGCAACTGGTCTGTATTGTGGGAGTTACATAAATCTACCTACCTGTTAAGAACGGTACATGTGTATACATTTATAACACAATAAGTCAGTTGTTAGACAGCACTGTGTCTGTTTGCAACTTACAGCAAACTTAGGTGACAGACTGGAGCAGGCCCACAGGGTTTCCTAGGCTGAACTCTGCATAGGATCAGCTCGCCAGGCCTTTCTCCTGCAGAGCTGCTGGGTGGGTTTGAACCACCCACCTCTCCAGGAGGAACTGAGTGCTCAATCACTGTGCTTCCAGGGCTCCTTCAGTCAAGTATTAAAAAGAAAAAGTAAACACTGCCATCCAGTCAATTCAACCTAACATTGACTATGGGGTTTCTGAGGCTGTAAATCTTTATGGGAGCAGAGCTGCCAAGGAACAGCTAGTGGGTTTGAACTACCTACCTTGTGGTTAGCAGCCTGTTACTTAAAGCAACAGCGTCACCAGGGCTCCTTTCAGTCAAGTATACTGTCTGATGATTAATATATATTAAATTTAAATACAGGTTCTAGACCACACTTCTTGGGGTTCGGATCCTGGCGCTGCCACTGATTAACCGTGTGGCTTTGAGGAAGTAATTCTTATCTCCCTGAGCCTCAGTTCACTTGAAAATGGAGCTGTAGTGACATCCAGCTCTGAGGGGTATTTGAAGAGTAAATGACATCAGCTGGGCACATAGAGCGTGCTTAGTCAACTCTCATTTTTCATTTCCTTTCCCTTTTTCTCTTCCACGCCTCCCACTCCGCCCTCCTCACTGCAGCCTCTGTTGCCCGGGTCAGTGGAAGCAGCGG